GATCTATCTGAATTAATTAAACAGTTGTTTCTCTCTCAATGGAGTGGAGAACCAAGACTGTTTCTTTAATTTTAGGGATGTTTCTATCTAATTCACTTTATAGTTTAATGACTTGTGTTGACAACAGTGTAAACATCACCTTGAGCTATCATCAAGAGGTCAAGAGCCATTCAATTCTGCCACAGCAGAGATAGATGATACTTCTATTTGTGGAGATCCAGGGTGTCATTTTTTGCATTAAAGGTTTACTCTAGTATTCCAGAGATATTAACATGACTTGTGCTGGCCAATGAAAAAAAAAAGTGATTATGTGTTGGTTCCGGGTGAAAGCTTTAAGAGCAAGTGTAAGTTCCAACATATTCTCTCTTACCCTCTGAAACAGTGACAAGCAATACTCTATATTATTTATGGTCGCTGTTCCATCAGCTTGAGACCCAGAATGAGGATGACACAGAGCAAAGCCTCCAGCTGACCTGAGATGAAAATATAGTAAGAGTGGAAACTGAATCTTATTGAATGAAGCCATTGACGCTTTGGGTTTACTTGCTACCACAGCAAAATTTACCCTGTCTTTTTTTTTTTAATTAAAAAAAATATTTATTTATTTTGGCTGCACCGGGTCTTAGTTGCAGCATTTGGGATTCTTAGCTGCGACATGCAAACTTCTTAGTTGCGGCGTGCATGTGGGATCTAGTTCCCTGACCAGGGATGGAAACTGGGCCCCCTGCCTTGGAAGTGTGGCGTCTTACCCACTGGGCCACCAGGGAAGTCCCTACCCTGTCTTAATTAGTACAGTTAGTTAATATTTTATTTATGATGTATGCAGTGACATTCATAAGTGAAAGGGGCTTACAGTTTTATTTTTTATATTTTGCTATTTCTGGAATCAAGACTACATTACCTTTGGGAATTCCCTGGAGTTCCAGGGGTTAACACTCTGTGCTTCCACTGCAGGGGCATGGGTTCAATCCCTGGTCAGGAAACTAAGATCCCACGTGCTGTACTGCACGGCCTAAAAAAATAAAAAAGGGGGCTTCCCTGGTGGCACAGTGCTTGAGAGTCCGCCTGCCGATGCAGGAGACGCGGGTTCGTGCCCCGTTTCGGGAAGATCCCACATGCCGCGGAGCGGCTGGGCCCGTGAGCCATGGCCACTGAGCCTGCGCGTCCGGAGCCTGTGCTCCGCAAATGGGAGAGGCCACGACAGTGAGAGGCCCGCATAACGCAAGAAAAAAAAAAAAGTAAAAGAAAAAGAAAAAAGACTACATTGAGACTTCCCTGGTGGCGCAGTGGTTAAGAATCCACCTGCCAATGTAGGGGACAAGGGTTCGAGCCCTGGTCCAGGAAGATCCCACATGCCGTGGAGCAACTAAGCCCATGCGCCACAACTACTGAGCCTGCGCTCTAGAGCCCGTGTGCCACAACTACTGAGCCTGCGTGCCGCAAACTGAAGCCCGCCTGCCTAGAGCCCGTGCTCCGCAACAAAAGAAGCCACTGCAATGAGAAGCCCGCACACTGCAAGGAAGAGTAGACCCCACTCGCCGAAGCTAGAGAAAGCCTGCGCGTAGCAACAAAGACCCAAAGCAGCCAAAAATAAAATAAATAAAATAAGTTTAAAAAAAGAGTACATTAACTTTCTTTTTTTAATTTTTTGCTATACATAAATGTATGTGTTCAACCCACCATCTTTAAGTGAAAGTCTTCCCTAAATCTTATTAATAAAAATCAGAGTTCTATTATTATCCTAGAAAAGTTTTTGCTTTTCTTCTACGTATGGAAATGTTTCTTGAATATATGTTAACCTCACCTATAAAACCATCTGGGCATTTGGGGGGAATGGTGGGACGTCTGACTACCATTCTCAAATGTTTATTATTTATTGATCTACTTAAAGTCTGTTTTTTCTTGTGCCAATTTTGACACTTTGTTTATTTCTAGGATCACTCCATTAGGTTTTCAAATTTATTAGCATATAATTATTCTTTTTTTTTCAATATTTATTTATTTATTTGTTTGCACTGGGTCTTAGTTGCGGCATGCATGTGGAATCTAGTTCACTGACCAGGGATCGAACCCCAGGCCTCCTGCATTGGGAGCACAGAGTCTTATCCACTGCACCACCAGGGAAATCCCAGCATATAATTATTCTTAATACAATTATCTTTCCATTGTGTCTATGATTTCTGTAGTTATTTCTTCTGCATTTTCTTTTTTGCATTTGCTATCTATATTTTTCTATCTATATATTTTTATTTTTTCAAAGAACCAGTTTCTAGTTAATCTTTTATTTCTCTCTTGATTTCTGCCCTATCTTCCTTATGTACTTCCCCTCTTGTTTGAGATTTCTCTCTTGCTCTTTTTCTAACTTCATGAGTTGAATTCTTTGAGCAATTTTTCTATTTGTTTCCTGACAAAATTTTTTGAAAGCTATAATTCATCAAAATACAGCTTTATCTGTGTCCTATGAATTTTTTTTGTCCTATGAATTTTAACATGTAGTGTATTTATTGTCATTCAGTTCTAAGTATTTAACTTCCTTCATGATTTTTTAACCCAAGGGCTATTTATTTATACAATATATAAATGTTAATTTGCAGTGCAATAAAGCTTTGTGGTTAGAGAAGATGGTCTATATGAAAATGATAATGATTCTTTAGAATGTATTCAGGCTTCCTTTGTGGCCTAATAATGGTCCATTTCTGTAAGTGATCTATGATGTTTGAATGTAATGTGTATTTGCTGATTTTTGAGCATAGATTTCTATATATTTAGTCACTAGAGCATATTAATAATATTAGTCATGTCTTCTCTATCTCTGCTTACTTTTTCGTCTGCTTGTTTCTGAGTGACATGAGAACAATTTCAGCTACAGTTGTTGACTTATCTCTATTTCTTCTGCAATTCTTATAGCTGTTGCTTAATATATGATGGATATATTTAAGAAGTTTATTTCACTCTTATATAACATTTTTGGAGTAAGCAGCCCAGAGCTTGTATGGTGGCTCTGTAATGCTAGGAACCTAGGCATCTTACTAATTTGTCATTCCTGGTGCATCGCCCTGATTGACTTGGTCCAAGTTAGTTCACCACCTCACCTTCTGAAAAGAGAAGCCCCTTCCGTTTGATATCGCTATATGGAAGATGCACACATTGCTTTTGTTCACTTTCCATTGACCAGAGTGTCATCATGTGAGCACTTCTAGTTCCAGGGGACATTGACAATTTTGGTTTTTATTCTGGGGGTTATGCACTAAAATAAATGCATAAATAAATAAAAATCAGGGTTCTATTACTACTATAGGAGAGAAAAATCGATATTGGAAGACAACTAGGAGTCTATCACAAGATCTCAGTGTTTTGTATGTAATCATTCATTTAATCCCTGTCTTTTCCATATACTTCTTCTACCCTCAACTTTCTCTCAGTTCAACCTCCTTTTTGTTTTACCTTCTCCAAAAAATAAACTTCCAGTTTTCCATTGCCCTGGGGAAGATGATTTAGAAGGTCTAACTGCTTCTTTTTATTTTTTTAAATTAACTTATTTATGTGTTTATTTATTTTTGGCTGTGTTGCTGCACACGGGCTTTCTCTAGTTGCCGCGAGCGGGGGCTACTCTTCATTGCATTGCACGGGCTTCTCATTGTGGTGGCTTCTCTTGTTGTGGAGCTCGGGCTCTAGGCACGCAGGCTTCAGTAGTTGTGGCACAAGGGCTCTAGAGCGCGGGCTCAGTAGCTGTGGTGCACAGGGGCTTAGTTGCTCCACAGCATGTGGGATCTTCCCGGACCAGGGATCGAACCTGTGTCCCCTGCACTGGCAGGCGGATTCTAAACTGTGCCACCAGGGAAGCCCGCAGGTCCAGGTCTTTATCCCTAAAGATTTCAAACTGCCTGAGTCTTGACAGACTGGAGTAAGAATCCTCCCCAAGAATCTTTCTCAGTAGTCTGAACCTGGACGGAAATAAAATTCCTGTTCTGACCTTTGTAGGCAAGGCCATGGTGGAAGGCAATGGATTATGCTCCAGATGTGAGGGAGTGCAGTTATCTTCCAGTCAGCGAGTTGCAGAAAATGAGGCACACTGCTTCCCATAAATGACTTGTCTTGCAACCTTCTGAGCTAGTCATACCTTCTTTGAACCTTGGTTTCTATTTCTATCAAGTGGGACGGATAACACCGTTGTCACTAGTAGCGTTGCTGTTAAGATTAAGTAAGACAGCTAATAGCTTTAGAATGTCTAAGCACAGTGCCCCCGGACATAGTGGACAAACTATAAACCGTAGCTTGGAGTGGACGAAAAGAGCTGGGAGCTTTAAGCTAGTCAGATTTGGGAGTCTGGGTAGGGCCTAAGAGGATGGCTTCAGCGGATTGGGCCAGCCGAAGGGGGCGGGCCCAGAGGAAGGAGCCAGCCGCGTCCCGCCGCAGCCCCCAGCTTTGAATCAAGCGCGGTAGTTTCAGGCGGTGGCCAATCCTAGGACAGCATTTCCTTGCGTCAGTTGTTGAGGTTCAGAGCCATGCGTCTCTCACCGATATCTGTTCTAGCCGTTGCTGGTATACACGTGCTCGGCTCTTGCGTGTCCATCCGTTACGACTGAGCGGACCGACAGAAAGTCTCAGTTAACTTCCTGAGTATCCGTCCTGGAAAGAGACTCTCGGCTACTCGCTCCGAACATGTAGTGCAGCCCCAGCTTCCCCTTCTCTGGAAGTCGCTGGCCGCCGTCCAGTCAGGAGTAGTAGTACCAAGATTCTAGTTCTTCTTACGCGACTTGCTAGAGAAGCAAAAAGTTGCTTTTTTCGAGGAAGCCAGGGAGGAAAGGTATCACGCAGAACCAGGTGGTGCGGGTGGGGGATGTCCTTGGGCAGGATTGGGGCTGGGTCCTGGCCCTTTAAACTCGAGGGGGAGGATCCGGAAGTGGATGGGCGGGGCGAAGGGCCCTGGTATATAGAAGGGCCCAGCCGCGCGGGGTCTCCAATCTGCCATTTTCTGTCCACGAATAAGTCTCTGGCTTTCGAAATTCTCTGTTTCTCCCACAGGCACTATCCCGTCCGCTGGTCCACCACCTCAGGCGAACGATGGCCGCAGAGTCCACAGCCACTGCCGCCATCACCGCGGAGCTGGTTTCCGCCAAGTAAGCTGGACCGTGGAGAGCTTGAAGCACTGGCCAGTCCGCAGGGAGGGGGTGGTGGACGGAGGCTAACCGGGAGGGCCATACCGGAGGGTGGGAGGGCTTTCCTTCCAGTGAACAACTGTCGCTGTTCGGGGAGGGTCGGACACTGGAGAAGCCCACTTCTTGCAGAGAGCCTCGCTCATTGGCAGTAACACCGGTCGGCTGGCGCCCCCTGCCCCGCTTTTCGCGGTCGCCATCTTGCCGGGGGCAGCGGCGGCTGTCTCCATCGCCTGCCCCTCTCCTTCCTCTCCAGGCCCGGGGCTATCGGGGGGGAGGCGGGGCCCCGGCGCGGCAGTGTACCTTCACGTCCCTGCTGTCCCCGCACTTCTGGCGTGCGCCTCCGGTGGGATCCCCAAACACATCGGTAAAATAACCAACAGAGATTTGGCGCCAAAAAAAAACTGCACGAGGAAGGAGGCTGGACCGGTGGGTCGGGATGGGCGGGGTCTCTCGGGGGCGGGGTCGTGCGCTCGTGCGTTCGCTTCCCTCCGCCGGCTTTGGAGCAGGGGGCGGGGCCCTGAGGAGGCGGGAAAACTCCATTGTTTGGGGCTGCGGCTCCCGAACGCCTCGGACTTCCGCCGTGGGACGCGGTGAAGCTTGTACCCCGCGGTCTCCTAGCTCACCTGGTACCCTCCTGCCCTCAGCAAGGCCCATTTCTTTTGTCTGTGGTGGAGAGCATCGTGGTTCTTTTAGACTTTGGGAACGTTGGCGGGGGACTTGGCTGCTTCTGGGGGATTTTATCAGGAGGCGAAGCATCTTCTAGCGCTGCGTCGAGGTCTTTTCACTTCTAGCAGTGTTTGGTTGCTAGGAGAATGGGCAGTATTAAGCGCGAAGTGTAACAGAAGGACTGGAAGGAATGATAGAGGACATGATTGCTATGAAAACGGCACAGTGCCACTCAGACATAAAGGTATTTTTTGAATAGTGAAGGGAAACAGGCCGTTATTCGAAGAAACAAATAACCCAAATTATTAAGTGGAAGACTCTAGGTTAAACCCTAGTATTTCAAGTTTTTATTCCCTCATTACTCATCCTTTCCCCCATCCCCAAAGCTTGAGAGGAAATTGCATGAAAATCTAATTAGCTAGTTGGAGAGAACAATAAAGGCATCATTCCTTAGTTAAGTAAGTTCCTGGGGCAATTCAGGGGTAAAGCGTTTCAGGCGTTTAAGGGGGAGGGTAAAGAAAATTTACGTGAGTTTAATAGACTACTAAGAATGCACATTATAATTCCAGTATAGCCATTGAAAGAATAAAAAACATGTTTAACTTCCAAACCAGTAGAGAGAGAAAATAGAATGAGAAATAAACCACAATTCAGAGTTGATTTTGATACCGCTTTCATTGCTTAAGTGGTGAATGTTGGGCTACAGTTTTGTCATCTGTTAAAAGCCACAACTTGGCTTCTGTCCCCTCATGCCATTAAACAACGTTGCTAAAGGTTACCAATGGTTGTCTAAATGTTAAATCAGTGTTTGTCCTTATTAGCTTTCTAAATAGTTCTAAGTTGTTAACGATTTTGTTTATGTTACAAAAGAATATAGCAGTTTGTACTGTAGTGGTAAGGAGGAGTGAGAAAGCTTAGAAAGAGGAAGTCTTATGTGATGCATTGAATTTTACTTTAACTGTCTTATAATTGCTGAGCTACTTATTCGTACCTTTAGATGAGAGATGTCAAAGTAAAAATAAGTGGTTTAGCTCAGTAATCCTTAAAGTTCTGGAGTTTGTTGTTCCTATTTCCGTAAGTGGAAGGTTCATCTGTGTTGGTGTGGGGCTTATTTTGGTGCTTAGTATTTGGCTGTTTAAAATGAGATGGATAACCTCTCGTAAGTTAGCTTTATGATGAATTAATGTCACTGTAATTAGAATATATTTGTGTGAAAGATTTAGCTAACGTACCTGTGTACCTATATTTTGGTGGGGTGGAGGAGTTAGGTTCAGTATATTAGCTCAAATGTGTAAATGAGAAGAGTCTCTCTTGGTGGACCTGCACACAAAAAAATCTATTTTCAGAAGATTTAAAAAAATTTTTTTTTTTTTTCCTGGTTGTGCCATGCGGCATTATACAATCTTAGCTCCCCCCTCAGGGATCAAACCCACATCCTCTGCATTGGAAGCACGGAGTTTTAACCACCGGACCACCAGGGAAGTCCCTGACCTTGTACTCTTAAGACAATTTACTCATCACATCCATTAACTTTGGTAATCTTTATATGCGTATCCGAAAGTATTCTCCACTTACCACTTTAAACAATTGAGGTTCAGGGAGGGACTTCCCTGGTGGTCCAGCGTTAAGACTCTGCTCCTAATGTAGAGGGCCTGGGTTCAATTCCTGGTCAGGGAACTAAGATCCCGAAAGCCACACAGCCTGGCCAAAAAAAAAAAAAATGGTTAAAAAAAAAAACTGAGGGGTGGTGGTGGTGGTGGGATGAATTGGGAGATTGGGATTGACATATATACACTAATATGTATAAAATAGATAACTAATAAGAACATGCTGTATAAAAAAATAAAACTGAAAAAATATATAGAGCAATGCAGAAATAAAAAGATAAATTCACAATTGTAAAAAAAAAAAAAATGCCAAAAAATAGTAAGATTAATTGCAATTTTACAATTTGGGCTTTAAACCTACACTGTTTCTTGGGCTATGACAGTAGGGTAAAATGACCCAGTTTGTATAAATTTTATGAGGCTTGATAAATGCACTTAATAATTGTCAGCTCATGACAAAATTAAATGACTCAATGAATGTTAATGTCTCCTTTCATATATCTGAATGCCTTGGTACAGTTTCAATATGTGGCATGTGTATTGTAGTATGATCTATTAATAACGTGGATCAGAGAGAAGCAAAAGTCAAGGACAAATGTAATTTTTTGTGAGATGTACATTATTTTTTAACATCTAGCTGATTACCTTTGGTTGCCAATTAAACATTACACCCCCTTGGAAAAAAAAAAAACACTGAGGTTCACACTAAAGTTTCCACAAAAAAAAAAAGATCATCGATTGGAATGCTTAATATTGTTAAGATGTTCATACTACCCAAAGAGATCTATGGATACAACACAGTCTCTGTTAAAATGCCAATGGCATTTTTTGCAGAAGTAGAAAAATGCATCCTAAAATTCATAAGAAATCTCAAGGGGTCCCAAATAGCTAAAAGTTTCTTTTGTTTGTTTGTTTTTGGCTACGCCTCGAGGCTTGTGGATTTTATTTCCTTGACCTGGGATTGAACTGGGGTCCTAATCACTGGACCGCCAGGAAATTCCCTGCCAAAACAGTTTTGAAAAGAACAAAGTGTAGGTCTCACTTGCTGATATCAAAACATTGTGTTACTGGCATAAAGATAGACAAATAGAACAATGGAATGTAAAAGAAAGCCCCCAAATCCTTGCATATGGTCAGATGATCTTTGATAAGGATGCCAAGACCACTCAATGAAGAAAGGACATTCTTTTTTTTCTTTTTAAATTTATTTTTTTATTTTTGGCTGCATTGGGTCTTTGTTGCTGCATGCGGGCTAAGCGGTGAGCGGGGGCTACTATTCGTTGCGGTGGGCGGGCTTCTTGCTGCCGTGTCTCCTCTTGTTGTGGAGCATGGGCTCTAGGCGTGCGGGCTTAGTTGTTCCGTGGCATGTGGGATCTTGCCGGACCAGGGCTCAAAGCCATGTCCCCTGCATTGGCAGGCGTGTTCTTAACCACTGGGCCACCAGGGAAGTCTCGGGATATTCTTTTCAACAAATGGTGTTGGGAAAACGGGATATGCACATGCAGGAGAATGAAGTTAGATCCTTTATTTTACACCGTATACAAAAATGAGCTGAAAATGGATTAGAGACCTAAATGTAAGACCTGAAACTATAAATCTCCCAGAAGAAAGCATAAGTTAAAAGCTCCATGGGAATTCCCTGACGGTCCAGTGGTTAGCACTCGGCACTTTCATTGCCATGGTCCGGTTTCAGTCCCTGGTTGGGGAACTAAGATCCTACAAGCCTTTCAGCGTGGCTTAAAAAAAAAAAAAATTCCCTGCCAGTTTTTCAGTACATTTAATTGAAGTACAGCATACTACAAAATGCACAAATGGTAAATGTACAGTTGAGTGAATTTTCACAAAGGGAAATTAGAAACAAAACATTATATGGAAACTTCCCCCCCCAACCTTTTTAGTCATACTCCTCCCATCAAGCCTAGCTCTTCTGACTTCTAACATTACAGTGTCATAGGTGGATGTTGAACTTGTATTTATTTGTAAGGGTACCATAAAACTTTATAGGGAGGGACTTCCCTGGTGGTCCAGTGGTTAAGACTCCGCGCTTCCACTTCAGGGGGCGCAGGTTCGATCCTTGGTCGGGGAACTAAGATCCTGCATGCTGTGTGGCACAGCCAGAAAAACCCCAAAAAACTTTATAAGGAGGATGATAGATGATGCTAAATTTCTATGATGACTGGGAGCCAGGAGAACTGGGTTCTGTTTCTGGCTGCTGCGGTGGACCTCAGTTTTCCCATTTGTTAAATGGTGGCAGTAGTGGGGAGATTCTACAAGGAAATTTTTTTCAGGAAAATTTTGTGAAGCAGTTTTCTTTCCTCCTATTTATTGGCATATTTTTCCTATATTTATTGAGCATTTGTCTTATTTAGTAGAGGCGCTGTACTTACGGAGACAGAAAAGATCTCTGCTTTCAAATGGAGCTTCGACTACTGGGATAGAGACCATGAATATATAGATTAGAGAATATCGGTGATAAAGTGCTATGCAAAGAATTACCCTAGTTTTAAGGTGATGTGAGGTAACTGGGTGGTTATTTATTTTTAATTAATTAATTAATTTACTTATTTATTTTTGGCTGCACTGGGTCTTCGTTGCTGTGCACGGGCTTTCTCTGCAGCGAGTGGGGGCTACTTTTCGTTTCGGGGCGTGGCTTCTTACTGTGGTGGCTTCTCTTTGCGGAGCATGGGC